CTATTCACACGACTCAACTGGGCATGAGAAAGATACAAAAGAATTTTAGATGCTCTCCTTGGGTGTGTTTTAACCGAATCCAGTAAAACACAGAGTCACTGTTCTGATTCGTGTTAGCTGAGCATCTGGTAACACAGCCAGATCTACCATCCCACGTCTAATATGAACAAACAAAAACTTCTGTCATGAGTGTGTGAGCACCAACTGTCAAAGTAATATTGCTCAATCAGCCTGGTATTAATAGGGAAACCCAGGGAGGCACAGTACTTTAATAATGTCTTCTCAGACAAATGGAAGGAATGTCTCATGCCCCCCCCCCCCATGGTCCATCACGTCAACAAACCTACGCGCACTTTCCATCCAGTACTAAGATGTTTTCTGCAGCTGGACAGGATGGTCTTCCCCTTCCCCTGAGTCATCTCCAAAATCTCTCAGGCTGAGGGGGTCTGGTGTGGGCAGAGATAGACTAATGGGAGCCTTGCAAAGGCATTACTGCAAGTGGTGAAGAGGACAGCTTGAAATTAAATGCAATTACATGCTGTCTGGTGGATTATTTCAGTCATCTCATTTCATGGCAGATGTGATGATCTACATGTAAGAACTGCAGTCTTATTTTGTCGAGACACACTGATTTAATGTCATCATTTCAATTACTAGTTGAGTCCATTTAAATCAGACCCCTGACAAAATACTGGAAACGGCTGCAACTAGCGTTTGTTATTAACTCAAGTTAGTTATAATGGAAGTGTTTATTCGAAGGGGATTTATGCAATACCAACTTTAAACAGGCTGTTTTTACTAAACATTTACAAACTGCCAGGTCTAACTGCTGCACAGCTTAACTGACAAAGTTATCCTGCTAATATATTGACCAAGAAAGGAATAAGAGGCAATGGGTTTGAATTTTTTTAATAAATAAAGCTACAGTGACTTCCTGTTTAAGCTATGTAGTTTCAATTGGACTGTGATACAGATGTTTCCTAGCAACCCATTTATACATTTATCAGGTTTTAATGGTGCAATCCAATTTAGTAAACCACTAGTTTACAACTGGTTAGAAGATGCTACAAACTTATGACTTTATTTACAAAGTAAAAATACCATTCAGACAATTTACCGCCCTGTCTGGCTCAAGCTGAAGAGCCGGAAGGATTTAAAGAGAATACTTCACTTGAAGAAATGTAACATTTTTCTTTTATCGCAAACCTGTCCTCTGGTCTTCTTTTATTGTGCTGAACAACTGTGCACTTTAACTATGTGTGGATGCCACAATACTTGGGCGCCATTAATTATGAGATCACAGTGTGACAATTTACAGTGATATGCATGTATCACAGTATTTATTGTGAAGGTACCGTACATGTGCAGCTTTAACTGTGCACACATTGGTGTGTGTGTCTACATGTAAACCCACCTGCTCACTATTGGCCTGGTTCCAGATGAACTTGAAACCTGGAATGCGCTTCCGGTTGCACACCACCCCAACATCTTCTGAGTGTTTGCAGTCAGACACTCCAAAGCCATTGGACTCACACTGAGCCAGGCTCTTCTCTCCACCACTGCAGTGCACATTGTCTAGCCAGATCTGGCCTGGAACAGAGAGAGGCAAAGAGGCAAACACTTAATTCTCTGGAGTTGTTGCCATTTCTTATATGCATCTTTGGATTTTTATTATTAGTCAAACAAAATGATTTGAAATCACGATATTGGGCTTTTTTTAGAAGTTGTGATATCTTGTATACTTAAACATTTAAAAAGAAAAATGAAAATGAAATGAAAAGGCAGTTTTAACAACCTATACTGTCACACCCCATCAACAGCTACAGCACCTGTATTTCAGCATTTCCACTGAAGTGTGGAACCTACTCACACGGGCCTGTATTTGGTCTCCAACATAGCCGGATGCATTTTTTCCCCAGACAAAACGTGGCCAATAAATGTTGTCATGGCTGAAGTGGATCATCTGCGATCCAGCTGGCTACTCTGAATCAGCTGTGAGTGAAACCACTTAACTGTGGGCATGGAAACCACCAATGAACTGACAGTCTCAACATGCTGCTAAGGAACAGCGTGGTCATACCTGGAAAATGACTGCATGTTACACAGTCACGTAGCTTTCTCCTCGCAGACGATTACCTCTGGAACATTTTCATAATAAGAGCCAAGTCTGACACCAGCATGGTGTCAGTACACCCTTTTCTGAACAAATATTCAGCCTTGCCAACTGTGATAAACCCAGACTGCTGTTAAAACCATCATTTGCGAGTCTTACGAGAATGTTCACAAGCCAGTGGAACAAAAAAGGAGCAGAATGCAGGGGATCCATTAATTTTCAAACTATTCTTTTGTCATACAGTGAGTTGTAAAGCCAAATTAACATCCCTGCAGGAAAAACACTACATCCAAAAGTGATATCTTGTACTTGTTAAGTAGTTATGTCTTCAATTAAAAAGACTGGGAGGTTTCTTTCATCAGTGCATGTGTCATTGTAATGGGAACTTTCTATCAACAAAAAGAAGACAGACATCATTTTCATTGACACACATGTAGTCTGACCTTTAAATACACTGCTTGTACAATGAATCTCCTACAAACTAAACACCCAACTGTCAGGAGAAGGGAAATCCTCCTCTCTTTATTACATAGTGCTCGGTAATTCTCTGGTAAAAAGTGGCAAAAATGTTTTTTTTTTGCATAAATTAAACTTCCTCTTTCACATCCAAAAGGACCCCATATTTATACATCCACACCACTGATAAAAGTGCAAAGAGTTGCCTTTCTTCACAGCCAGTACATGTATTTAACTGCATACAGCATATTACTTCATAATTGTGATAAACATGATACCACCAAAGAATTTGTGACTGCAACAATTTACTGGGAGAAATTGTGCATTATCTGACAGAAATACAGGGGTACCAATATTTTTGGCCTTGACTGTACATCCACAATGAGAATAGTCAGCACAGTTCTGCAATTGGGTGTGGTTTCACCTGACGTGCCCGCAGCATTTCAAGGCAGAGAATACTCCTCCTTTTATATACTTGGCAATCTTTTTAAACATTCACATTTGTCTGGGTGGTTAACATTTATTTCCACTTTACCCCAGCTACTAACTTGCTTACACATACCTGCAGCAGCAATCATGTTTACAGAGTTGGGAATCGGAGGTTTTACAAATTTATACACATCAAATAAAAAGGAGATGACATTATGTCCCCATGTATCTGGTTTACACACCCAGTGTTTCCAGTCCTAACACCATGCTCTGAACTGATTGGTCTTGATTTTCCTATAATGCAGAAACCTGAGCCTGAGGATATTAGCAGTCAGACGGGGGAAACAAACTTCATTTAAGAACTTTCATTAAACTGTATTAAGAGATATACTGCCTTTCATCAACCATGGTTGGCAGGTTGCTCAGATTAACACCCTAAAGCCCTCACCTCAGTTCCTAGACATGTGAAAAAAAAAACAGGATTTTGAGTTGAACTAGAAGCTTTTGATTACAAAATTCTTGGTTAAGGTCACTTCCTCAAAGCCAACCATATAAAAATCTCTGTAGCTCTCACCTTCTCCTCTTCCATACTTGGCTGAGGGTGACCAGGATTCGGCATCCACAAAGCCAAGCTCTCTGCACACCACTCTGGCAGCGTAGATGGAGAAGTCATCATCACACACTGTTCCCCACTCGCCATTGTATAAAACTTCCACCCGGCCCTCGTGTGGTTTTTTCTTCTCCCCAGCCAGGCGTAGCTGGATCGCAGGGGTGCTGGAGTCTGACTGGGTGTTGCACAGTGCCCACATGCAGAGCAAGGTGGACAAGACACAGTAGATGGAAACTGGATGCAGCATGATGCAGAACAAGGGATGAAAAACAATGATCTAGAGGGAGCCACAATGGAACAAAAGACTTGGCATGAGCACCAGAAGCTGTATAACAATGAACTATGCTTTTAGAATATTCAAGAGGAAAGGGTTTAAAAGTAGCATTATGCAACTACAAAGAGTTAGATTGAGAGCTGAATGTGGACTGAATACAGTGATGTGCAGTAAGTGTAAAGCTGTAAAGTAAAGCTGTGCGGTTTGGCCATCATCAGGCTCCTATAGACTCCTCACTGGCTGCCCTTAAAGTACAAGTGTAAGCCTGAGAATCACTGACAGAATATCAAGCAAACAGTAAATACATTTGACAGCCAACAAGATGAAAAAGGAAAATTTGCAGAGGTTTGCGCAAGACTGAAGGTGATTTCACTGAGACAAGGATCCCTCTCTCAGTCTTTTTGACAGCTTAATGGAGAGCACATGTAGCCTCCCACAGGGTGGATGCTGCCCCTGTCATTTATCTACTGATCTGTGCCTGGAGTCTGCTGAACTGAGGTTCAGAGGGAAAGTCAACTCCATTTCAATATCCCATGGCAAAACATGAAAGTTTCAACAGAGACCCAAAAGGAAAGTTCCTGGAGTTAAGGGAGAAAAAGACACTTAAAGTTAGGAGACATTCACGTTTTTAATGTAGAATGTGAAGCGCGGGTGCTTTTCAAGATGATGCCATAACTCCCAAACTTAAAATAAAAAAAATCCCTTGGATTACACAAAATTGTTAGAGGTCACTTAGGATCCTCAGAGTAAAATGTGGTTATCTTCCTAATTAAGCATGTTCCAGATATTAATGCTTACACAATGAGAGGCCCACTCTCTATAGAAGAACAGAGACTGTTAACATGGCTTATAAACTTGACTTGTATTTACACCAGGTTATGAATAGAATCAATCAGAATAGAGCCCCCACTGACTTCTTTTTCCGTCAGTTTTATTGTCTATTGTTTAAAAAAAGCATAAATCAGTCAACAAATGCCTCTTAAGCCCTGGATGAGTCAGAAGAGCCCTGTAGATTTTCCATGTAATTCGTCCATCTGCAGCAGCAGCTAGCAGCCCATTAATTTATAAGCTAACTTAACAGCTAATGCTGCAACTCTTAAAACCTATGGTAAAATAAACGTAAACAAACTTTTAAAAGAGACACATGTAATTGTTCGTCCTATGTATGTTTCGAGTTACAGAGAGGACAAATAAAGAAAAATTAGAAACTTAATTTACAGATAAGTTAATTCGCTATCTAACCTTTCACACACTTACGCACGTGCGAAACAATGTCCAATCAGCAGTCGTTAAAGGTGAAAGAAGCCACTTTGGTAAACGAAAGACAACCAGTGCCCCCTGTCAGAGACGCAAACATAGATGCTTCCAACCTGCTGAAGAGAACGGCATGTACAACTGCGAGGTTTGTTCCTTGTGCACTCTCCTGGTTCTTTTCTCTGCCCCCCCACCCCTCACAGCTGGCAGCACGCTGCTGTCCCACTCCTAAACCCGCCCTCCTCTGGCGACCTGGAAGCTTCATAAACAGACTAAAACTGCATTTGTCATTAGAGATCCGTGAATTATTGAACTCCAGAGAAATCAACAACTTTTTGTCTTAGATTTTTTTCACAATATTTTATTTGTTAACTGTTCATTTTGCCCAGCAGTGCACTTTCTGATTTGGTCATCAAGCCCTCGCTTCTTAAAACATCTTCCCACTGTTTCAAGTACATCAACCCTGAAATGTGGAGATACTGGGACACTGAGAATGTGTCTTTAAAGTCTGATTAGGACTAGTTTTTATAATGAAACAGAAAAAAATCTCTGGTCTAATATGAAAAAGTTGACAGTAGTAGTGATTCCACTGAGAATCAGTGCCATCTTTTCAGCTTAATGCTGGTAGCTCATTGTTAGTTCACCTGGCCATACAGACTAGCTATAGTTGTCAACTGTGGACAACCATTTCTATCAGCAATACTCTGTCAAGTCCACTCACTCACTTCCCACCATGTGATGGCTGATAGACAAAGTGAAAGGCTGGCTGATCTTTTAAAGATATATCTAATAAATGAATAGAAACATATTTATGTAGAATGGTAGTGAATGTTCTCACAAAGGAGAACAATTAAAAGAAAAATCGAGGCTAGTCAGGTCATGACAGGCAGCCCCAGATACGACAAGTAGGAAATGCCCTGTATAGGAAACAAAGGATTTACAAATTGTAGCCTATGTACTGTATAAGTAATCATTCCCACCCTTCATCATGTCTACAGCAGGTCATTCCTGGCAAATGCAATTAGAATACTGTATGTAAAGCCTACCTTGGCTCTTTCACAGGGTAAACTTTGCATTCAGCTCCTCTCTGTATTTCTGTAGGCCTACGTCTTGTTCACTGATTCTGAGTTCCTGATGTCTGTCTTCATCATTTGTGCTTTGTTTTTAATGTTATGTGGTAACGTCAAACACAATTTTCATAATTTTAGACAATAAACTAACTGCTATGCCATGTCTAAACCTCATCCTTGAGAATGATGTTGACAGTGAAATTGCTGACCTGTCAGAATAAACTGCCTATAGTAGTGCGGTGTGTGACACCACCATGTGGTGAGACTGTACTGCCAAGACTGAGCCTCAAACTTGCAGACTAAATGCTTAAATGTATACAATATTATGGACAAACATCCATAGTGCTGACAGACAGATAAGTCTTGAAGCTTCATGTACTGATTACAGTCTTGTGTGTCAGCAAATACTCAAGTTGTTGTGACAATTTAAATTGTCAGATCAAGTCGATGTCTATATCATTAGAGTTTCTTTGTTACTATTTTACAGAGGCCACAGTGAAGGGTACATGGATTGATTTAGCTCTTTCTCAACAGACTAGTGAATACTTTTTTATTGATTTTCAATATAACAACCTAATACAGTACTACACTTTGACCAGAGAGACTCACAAGTATTCATTAATCCCAAACAATCAGCAATTCTGTAGGCACAGTGTGGCTACAGCAGTTAAACTCAATGCCCACATTTGGTAAACTAGCTTGCTTCAAGCAGGTTTGGGTGCAGGGACATGTCTGAGTAGGCAAAGATGATTGGCAGCAAAAGCATGAAAACAGCGATGGGATCTACCTAGGTAGGAGTGAATAGTGACCAAGTCGCCAGCTGTTTATGTTCGTCACTGAAGTGAGATTACACTCAAGTATAAAAACAGTATGTTACATGTTTCTAGACTATGTGCACAGCTTAAAGAGTTAGACAAAGGAGAAAATTTGCACAGTATTAAATCTTAATCATTTATTCAGAAATGCACAAAATATAGCAGTTAACATACAATCTGAGTATACTTAATTCTTCAGTTTTACAAATATTAAGAACTAAATTCTGAATATTGTTTTCATAAAGTATAAAATTTACACATATTGTACTGTAATAATAGATTTGCATTGAAAAGCACCTTCAAACGAATGCACTGAAACACCACTACAACAGGACACAGACAACTGAAACCCATTTCATTTTACAATGACATTTGGCAATGGATTGTGCTGATGGACGTCCAAAAGAACTTGTGCTTTACAGTATATCTGACTGAATACTCACTTGTGTGCTTCTTCTGTCAATGAGCATCTTCTCCCAAAACACAGTAATGTAGCCAGTCATGTATACACATGACTCAATGATCTATTACTGCAAGTAAGCAAGCAAACTCACTTTAACTCACTGTTGTTCAGTTTGATCATAAAAGAAATAAACTGGATACAGTACACTTTGGCAACTTAGTCTGAAAATCACCATAGTTTTTACAAAACAGACAAAAGAAAGGCACACTAGCCTCATCTGAGTTCATAGTGAAAATATGAACAAGCAAAATATGCTTCCAACCTTTCTACACTTAATCGAAGAGTGAGAGAAACATGGCACATGATTTAATATTACAGTATAATAAGAGTAAAATTTTTACTACTTCATTCATCCCCACCATTGCTGGTTGTTGATTTTATGGCAGCATGCTGTTTGACTTCAAAATCTGCAAAACTGAATTGAGGATTTGATCACAAACTGTGTAGGTCACTCTCTGAAACAAGACTCAAAGGCAACTCAATAAATGCTCCCTAAGATAACCAGTTGAACTAAACTGTCTGCATCACAAAAGAAACGAATGGCAGCAAAAATATTTACAGTTTATGAAAACAAAAAGCTACTAGAGTATGATCAGTTCAGGCACCCAATAGAGAGAACTGTCATTTCTGAAGACTGCATCTAATTCCACTGTAGATGTGCTGTGGTAAATCATGTCTGAGCACATTTCTTTCTCTTAGTTCCCACATTATTTCCTTCAGTTTTGTGTGAATCATGCTGCTGAAAATGGTAATAGAAATTCTCTGTGGCACAACAGACTGGCTGAGGATCAGTCTTTGAAAATGGATTAAACACTTAATGATTCTTTAAATCAATAAATTGCGTGTGGAACATAATCATTCCTTCAAATACACCTCATAATTTCTCTGTGGTTCTTGGTTAATGTAATTTTGTTCATGCACAGCATTTACATCGCATGTTGCAGTGAGAGTTTGATTAAAGGCCTCTTATTCTGGACCCAGTTTGGCGATTAGTTCATCACAGATCTTGGTGAGCTCCTCAATCTCTTGATTCTGTGAGAGACATTGAGAGGAAGAGTGTTTAGAAATTTGGTAGTATAGAGGTGCCATGGCAGGACAGAAACACGTCTGTAAAGGTACAATAAACATCTGTGAATCTGTTCACAGAGAAAAGGCTCTTTTGTAACTTTCACAAGGGTCAGTGTATGCACCACCACATTTTAATTAGTCACATGTATTGCTGCAGGTATTTGGTAACACTGCTGTTTGGCCCACACCCATGAAGAATGTAAGAAAATAGCATGTTTTTTTTGTTTTTATTTTATTTCTTTTGTACTTGTTTTCTGTGGTAGATAACAGCAGTGGTGGAAAGTAACTACATTTACTCAAGAACTCTACAATTTCTACTTGAATACTTTCACTTTGTGCTACTTCATACATCAACTTAACTACAATTTAGAGGCAAATATTGCAATTTTTACTCCACTACATGTATTTTATAACTTCAGTTACTTGTTACAAATTATAGGCATATTAGCAGCAACATTAAATGTTTTAATAATTATAATTCAATTATATGATATACATTAATGTGAAATATAGTACTTTTATTTTTAGTACTTTTAGTATGTTTTGATGCTAATACTTTTGTACTTTAGTAACATTTTGAATGCAGGATTATTATGTGTAACAGAATATTTTTAAACTGTGGTATTCCTACTTTTACCCAAGTAAAAGGATCTGAGTACTTCCACTACTACAAAATTGGTTTCACTGGGTGTCTTCTTCATTTGAACCAGCTTGTGGTTTACCAAAATAAAACACTGTCCTCTAGTGTTTAGTTACATGCTAGTATCATGTGATGCTAGTGTTTTCACTGCCAGCTCGTGTTAACATTACTGCAACCAAATCACTTTTGCTTCAAAACAATAATAATTTTTAAATGTACAAATTAAGCCACAGGGGTGGGATTTTACTAGAAAACCTTTTCTACTGCAAAGGGAGCAAATATAAGTCCTTTTGGTCTAACAATTAAAAAACATGAAAATCCATTTTCTTCTTTTACTAAATGTAATGAGATAACAAAGGAACAGGAAACGGTCTTAACCTTGGAAAACAATAGTGCTGTAATTTTACCACTGATGTAAAATAAATTCCACAAATGATCTCAGCTATGATCTTATTGGTTTAGTACAATATGACAATAGCACATTTATGTTTAAACATGCCATGCACCTTTAACCAGACTTATAGAACACATAAGTCAACAAACAAACGGACATATTAACCAAAGTTTTATTTCAGCACTCACACAGTTAAACACACTGGATCCATTTTAATCATGTTTGCCACCCTACCTTTTGAAGGACAGCTCTTTCAAGTGACTCCACCTTCATCTGCTCCTTCCTGAGGCTGGCGTTCAGTGCGACACTCTCAGCGTTGGCCTTGGCTCGTACCTGAGCTATCTCTTCATTGGCTCTGTCAGAGAGGAAGCAGAGGGAACATTGAACTGAATTGTCAGATGGAGCCTTGAACACCAAAATATTTTCAAAATTAAACCTTTCTAATGGTCAAAACCAGACACTCACTTGTCCAGTTTCTCCTCAGCATGCACTTTAAGGGTTTGGTACCGTTGCTCCTCCTGCTTGATCCGCATCAAATAGTCCTGTGCATACTTCTTCAGCACCTCCTCATTCTGGAGAGACACATGCAGAGGATGTCTAGCAAAAGGATGACTGCACAACATAGGATGACGTTCATAGCTCTACTGACCTTCTTGAAGCCCTCCAGGACTCCCTTCATGTTCTCATACCTCCTGAAGAGGTCAGCAAAGGAGCACTCCACTGAGTTGAGTTCAGTCAAGGCCTGATCCCTCTCTAAGGTCAACTGCCTGACTGACTTGTTACAGGACAGGCTTTTCTGCTGCTGCTGCTCATCCTCTGCAACCAACAGAGGAGTTGGGAAATGAGAACGGGCGGTATGCATACTGTAACTTCAAGACTAACCTGAAACAGCATTGTCAAATGTAGCCTTGGAAAAATCACCACCATATTCAAAAATACCATTTTCAGACAGTGCAGCCAGAAAGTTTTAGGGTAATGAAAGTGTTTTTCCATCGTCACTGTACCAACCAGTAACAGTAAATCTAGACAATATCAGCTTTACTGGTGTTTACATCCACACTGATTGTGGGACTCTGACCCCTTTTTATACCTACTGGTATTTCCTCAGTTTTATAATAATGCAGCAGAATGCAGTACTTTATAATGGAGTATTTTTAATGTTTTGGGAACTGAGAACTTCTACCTCAGATGACTAAAGAAAACCCCCCAAACAAGAGCAGGGCATCACCAGTGAGGATGCCGTCTGTCTGCTGGTGTTATGTGACCAATTAGTACAAAAACATTTAAGTAAACTCAATAAAATGACCTTATGTCCCCAAACATTTTAAGATCTATGAATAAGAACCGAGTAAAATTACTACATTACTCCTCTGATGTGGACGTGAACAATCTCAGAATAAAAGACACATTCACTTCATAGCCAGTGTTTTGTGCCACATTTTAAGTGCACAGTGTCCTTATGTATTTAAATATAATGGGTGATCTGAAGGTGTCACAGTACATATGCTACTTCCAGTAACCTGTGAGGTGCTGTGCCCTATTACTACAGTATAAACAAAGAATACCACCACCAGATGGCAGCAACTTACCAATCATTTGTGCAATTGTCTTTTCATATTCTGCAACTATTTTCCTGTTAAGATAAGAATAGAAGACAGTCCTATGTTAACTAGTTTCTTTACATCATTCATATTTGTCAAGATTTGTGCTGTAATGTTTTACAAGAGTAACAGTGAAGCTTCATACCTCATCTCAAAAACCTCTGCTCGGCACTCCTCATACTTTCTTTTCCACTCATTGACCTCAATCTCTTTAGTGATGATCTGAGTGGAAGACAGGATGTGAAGATATAAGTTAAAAGAGTAAACATCATCAGAATCACTTCATTGAGCATGTGGGAGCGTGATACCTCCTCTCTGATCAGTGTGAGAACTGCTGCCTTGTCCATCTCACTCAGAGGTACGTTGTCCAGGGTCAGGGCTGCAATATCTGTGGCCTCAATGGTGGTCTCTTTTGTTGTTTGCTTCATGGATATCTCGCCCTGTGGAACATGCACAAAACAAAGCACTTATTCAATTTGATCATGGAACATCATGATTCAGTGCTGCTTTTATGTTTTCACTGCAGATTGCATGATGTCTTTGCAAGGAGTGCTCTGGGAAAACTGTTCACATTTGTATTGACTCTACTAATCAAACATTTGTATAACATGAAGGTGCAAGTGTGGTTAACATAAACAAATATTCTGAGAAAATACTGTTTCATTCTTGTAGACAAGTGAGGGAGTCAGACAAGATAACTGTTGTCCCAGAATGAAAAAAATAGGACTCCAGTTCTGTTAACGACACTAGTGTTCACAGTTGACACAAAACAAGCTGTTCATGTTTAAACAATCACACTGCTTCCTCCCTGTGGTCCCTTTAGTCCACTTACTATATCATCTTTCAGACTGCATGTGCCCTTCCCCTCCAGGTGATCTGCAATCTTGGTCTCAAGAACTTAAAGGAAAAAAAAAAAAAAAAATCAGTATACACAGATCTAATGGCGAGTGATACTGTAAAAATCACCTTTTATATGTCCTATAAAACACTATTGACATGATGTATCATAAAAAGGAAACTTAGAAAGCTGACTGAACTAAGAGACTGTGGACAGAATTATTTATTCTGCTAGTTTTGGCATCATACAGTGAGGAACAGAAGTATTTGAACACCCTGCAATTTTGCAAGTTCTCCCACTTAGAAATCATGGAGGGGTCTGAAATTTAC